CCAGGTGGCTGCGGAGGAGACTCTGGGCGGTTGCTGTGGGCACGGCCGCTCTCAGGCTGCTCCCCAGCTATGACGGGGCCTCACCAGAGGGGGAATGGATGGGAAGCTGTTTATCGCTATGAGGGGCCTCAGAGCTGCGCTGCCTCCCAGAGGTTTAAGGTGCCCGGAGCTCCACGGGATTCCCAGCTGCTCAGCTGAGTGTGCCGGGGTGCTTCCATCCAGCTGTGAGGCCCCTGTCCCTTTAAGACTTTCAAAAAGCACTTGTTTTTCCTTTGTCCCTGGGGCGCCGGCCGCAGGGACCCGCTTGCAGGTTTTACTGTTCTGTTTTCCTAATATCCAGCACACCACACACTGTGTGTCTGCACTCTGGTGCAAATGGCTAGGGCTGGGTATTTAGCAGTCCTGGGCTCCCTCTCCCTCCCTGCTCCGACTCCTCTCCTCCCACCGGAGAGCTGGGGTGGCGGGCACACTCGGGTCCCACCGGGCCACAGCTTGTATCTTATCCCCTTTGTGAGGTGCTGGGTTCTCGCAGATGTAGACGTAGCCTGGCTGTTGTATTGTATCTTCTGGTCTCTCTTTTAGGAATAGTTGTATTTATTGTATTTTCAAAATTATATATGGTTTTGGGAGGAGATTTCTGCTGCCCTGCTCATGCTACCACTTTGGCTCCTCGTCCCCTCTGCCCATTTTTTAATCAGGTTGTTGGTTTTTTTGGTGAGGCATATGAGTTCTTTATATATTTTGGGCATTAACTCCTTATCAGATAAATCATTTATGAATATATTCTCCCATACTGTAGGTTGCCTTTTTGTTCTGTTGGTTGGTGTCCTTTGCTGTACATAAGGTTTTTAGTTTGATATAGTCCCACTTGTTCATTTTTTTTTTTCCCTTGCCTGAGGAGATGTGTCCAAGGAAAAATTGTTCAAGAGGTTTTTGCCTTCTATGTGTTTCATTGTTTCATGTCTTACATTTAGGTCTTTGATCCATTTCAACTTAACTTTTGTGTATGGAGTTAGACAGAAAATGTAGTTTCATCCTCTTGCATATAGCTATCCAGTTTCCCCGAAGGGGAATTGAAGTTACTGAAGGGATTGTCGTCTCTCCATTGTATATTCATGCCTCCTTTATCAAATATTAATGGACCATATATGTGTGGGTTTATATCTGGACTCTCTGTTCTCTTCTATTGATCCTGTTTTTATGCCAGGACCATACAGATTTTTTTTTTAGTATTTATTCAAGTCTTTTTTTTTTTTTTTTGCTAACATTAATCTACAATTACACGAGGAACGTTATGTTTACTAGAGTCCCCCCTTCACCAAGTCTCCCCGACAAACCCTATTAGTCACCATCCATCAGACTGAGCTGCTGTAGAATCACTACTTGTCTTCTCTGTGTTGCACAGCCCTCTATGTGCCCCCCCCCACATTATACATGCCAATTGTAATATCCCTTTTCTTTTTACCCCCCTTATCCCTTCGTTCTCACCCATCCTCCCCAGTCCCTTTCCCTTTGGTAACTGTTAGTCCATTCTTGGGTTCTGTGAATCTGCTGCTGTTCCGTTCCTTCAGTTTTTTCTTTGTTCTTATATTCCCCAGAGGAGTGAAATCATTTGGTACTTGTCTTTCTTCACCTGGCATATTTCACTGAGCATAATACCCTCTAGCTCCATCCATGTTGTTGCAAATGGTAGTATTTGTTTTCTTGTTACGGTTGAAAAATATTCCACTGTGTATATGTACCACATCTTCTTTATCCATTCATCTACTGATGGACACTTAGGTTGCTTCCATTTCTTGGCTGTTGTAAATAGTGCTGCGATAAACATAGGGGTGCATATGTCTTTTTCAAATTGGGCTTCTGCATTCTTAGGGTTAATTCCTAGGAGTGGAATTCCTGGGTCAAATGGTATTTCTATGTTTAGTTTTTTGAGGAACCTCCATACTGCTTTCCATAATGGTTGAACTAATTTACATTCCCACCAGCAGTGTAGAAGGGTTCCCCTTTCTCCACATCCTTGCCAACATTTATTGTTTGTCTTTTGGATGGTGGCTATCCTAAGTGGTGTGAGGTGATATCTCATTGTGGTTTTAATGTGCATTTCTCTAATGATTAGCGATGTGGAGCATCTTTTCATGTGTCTTTTGGCCATCTGAATTTCTTCTTTGGAGAAGTGTCTGTTCAGCTCCTCTGCCCATTTTTTAATTGGATTACTGGCTTTTTGTTTGTTGAGGCACATGAGCTCATTATATATTTTGGGTGTCAACCCCTTATTGGATATGTCATTTACAAATACATTCTCCTATACTGTAGGATACCTTTTTGTTCTAGTGATGGTGTGCTTTGCTGTACAGAAGCTTTTTAGTTTGATATAGTCCCACTTGTTCATTTTCACTTTTGTTTGCCTTGCCCAGGGAGATATGTTCATGAAGAAGTTGCTCATGTTTATATTCAGAAGAGTTTTGCCTATGTATTTTCCTAAGAGTTTTATGGTTTCATGGCTTATATTCAGGACTTTGATGATCCATTTTGAGTTTACTTTTGTGTATGGGGTTAGACAATAATCCAGTTTCATTCTCTTTCATGTAGCTGTCCAGTTTTGCCAACACCAACTGTTGAAGAGGCTGTCATTTCCGCATTGTATATCCATGCCTTCTTTATCGTATATTAATTGACTATACATGCTTGGGTTAATGTCTGGACTCTCTATTCTGTTGCACTGGTCTGTGGGTCTATTCTTGTACCAGTACCAAATTGTCTTGATTACTGTGGCTTTATAGTAGAGCTTGAAGTTGGGAAGCAAGATCCCCCCTGCTTTATTCTTCCTTCTCAGGACTGCTTTGGCTATTCAGGGTCTTTTGTGGTTCCATATGAATTTTAGAACTATTTGTTCCAGTTTGTTGAAGAATGCTGTCGGTGCTTTGATAGGGATTGCATTGAATCTCTACATTGCTTTAGGCAGGATGGCCATTTTGACACTATTAATTCTTCCTAGCCAAGAGCATGCGATACATTTCCATTTATTGGTATCCTCTTTAATTTCTCTTAAGAGTGTCTTGTAGTTTTCAGGGTATAGGTCTTTCTCTTCCTAGGTTAGGTTTATTCCTAGGTATTTTATTTCCTGATTTCTCTTTGTACTAGTTTTTTGTTAGTATATAGGAAGGCAACAGATTTCTGTGTATTAATTTTGTGTCCTACAACTTTGCTGAATTCGGTTATTAATGGTTTTTTGGTGGAGTCTTTAGAGTTTTCTATGTATATCATGTCCTCTGCAAATTGTGACACTTTAACTTCTTTCTTCTACTGTAGACACCTTTTATCTCTTTGTTTTGTCTGATTGCCCTGGCTAGAACCTTCAGTACTAGGTTGAATAGAGTGGTGAGAATGGACATCCTTTTTCTTGTTCCGTATGTAAGAGGAAAAGCTTTCAGCTTTTTGCCATTCTGTATGATGTTATCTGTGTGTTATGTGGCCTTTATTATGTCGAGGTACAGTATCCTCTATTCCCATTTTGTTGAGAGTTTTTATCTTGAATGGATGTTGAATTTTGTCAAGTGTTTTTTTAACATCTGTTGAAATGATCATGTGGTTTTAATACTTTGTGTTAATGTACATGATGTTGATTAATTTATAAGTATTATACCATCATTGCATCCCTGGAATAAATCCAGTTGGTCATATTGGATGATCCTTTTGATGTATTTTTTTAATTCAGTTTGCTGATATTTTGTTGAGGATTTTTGCATCTATTCATCAGGGATATTGTTATGTAATTTTCTTTTCGTGTAGTATCTTTGTCTGGTTTTGGTATTAGAGTGATGCTCTCCTCACAGAGTGAGTTTGGAAGTACTTCTTCCTCTTCTAGTTTTTGGAATATTTTAAGAAGGGTGGATATTAGGTCTTCTCTAAATGTTTTGTAGAATCAGCTGTGAAGCTGTCTGGTCCTTGAGTTTTGTTTATTGGTAGTGTTTTGATTATAGTGGTTGACTTTTTAAAAAGGATTATAGAGATATTCCTAGTCCCTATATTACTGGTGTACTGGAGATCTGTCAATTTTTAAATAACTAAAGAACAGAGAAAAGACCTAGCAAAATTTTAGCCTAAAATTTGACTTTTTTAGAACCTGTGTTCACTTTAAAGTTCATAAAAGTAAAGAAGAAACTCACCATAATTTGTGAGGATATGTGACTAAAAATAATTTTTTCTTTGAGATTCCTAAATAGTATTACAGTATGAAAGTAAATTCACATATATGAACATAATTAAGTCATAATTGTCTTGGATCTGATTGACCAGCAGGACAGATATATTTTAGAGGGTTCTGTTTCATAGGTGAAATTAGGAAAGACTGTAAGAAATAGAAGTAAAACAGTCTCAATACAGTCTTTTATGCTAGAAGGACATTACTGTGATTCCATCTGCACCACTTCTAGCTATTTAATCTTGGGAAGACTCAGGTTCCTCATCTGTAAAATTGGAATAACAGTGCTACTTAACAGGGTTTTTGTGAGGATCATATTAGTTAGTTCATGTAAAGCACTAATGCCTGGAATGTGGTTAAGTATACATTCATTTAACAAATATTTTTTGAGTATCTGTTCTGTGCCAAGCACTGTTGATGTGCAAAGAATACAGTAACTCAAACTGACATAAATCCCTGCCTGGAACTTAAATTTTAGTGTGTGAGACAGACAATAAGCAAAAAGTATAGCTATTTAATACAGCATAAGTGCTAAGGAGAAACAGTTAAGCAGTGGTGGGAGGGTATGAAAAGAGGGTGAGGAACTTCACTGAGAAAATGAGTTTTGAAAGGATATCTACAGGAAGTAAGGATGATACAATAAATAGAAGCTGCTGTTCTTGTTCTGCTCTGTCTTTATGTACTATAACTTCAGTGCTGAGATTCCTAGTTTTAAATGCACCTTTAAAAAACGTCTTCTCAGTTTGAATTTAGATATCTTTAGAGAAATATCTTTTTGTTTTTAAACCCTCTTGGTCAGGTACTTGTTTTGGCTCCTACAAGGGAACTGGCAAACCAAGTAGCCAAAGACTTCAAAGATTTAACTAGGAAACTCAGCGTGGCATGTTTTTATGGTGGAACATCTTATCAAAGCCAAAGTGAGTAAATATGTGTGATAGTGCAGAGATCTATTTGCTACTGAAATCTAAAGAAATGATGTGAAAATATATATTTGATTATTTACGTATTACTGATATTTCTCTCCTTTCACAGTCAGTCATATTCGAAATGGCATTGACATCTTGGTTGGGACACCTGGTCGTATCAAAGACCATCTGCAGAGCGGCCGATTAGATCTTTCTAAACTGCGCCACGTTGTGCTTGATGAAGTGGATCAAATGTTAGATTTAGGTTTTGCTGAACAAGTTGAAGATATTATCCATAAATCCTACAAAACTGGTATATCCTAGTTCAAAATGAGCATATTAGCAATTATTCCCTTATCTAAAAACTTACGAATTCTTTAATAATTTTTATTATTATTTTGTCCCCAGAGTTATAAGAAAACTGAAGCCATTTGGCATCTGTTTTTTTCCTGAACAGGAAAATGCAATAGTGTACTTTAACTGTTTTCTTAGCATTCTGTGCTTTCTTTCATTTTTTTTTTTATAGTCAGTGGTTATTTTACTGATTTCTTTGCTAATTGTTCCTTCTTAAATTATCACCTGCCTTCTGGGTTCAGTTTTCTTCATATTTCTCCATAGTTGTGAAAGTTATAAGTTTTAGTAATTAAGTTTGTATGTTCAAAATTAACCGCAAGTTTTGAATTTTTCATTATTTCTTTGAATTTTGGAGGGATTTTTAATATGGATATTAAGAAAGCATTTGAATTCTTTTTGTTTATTTAAGATTCTGAAGACAATCCTCAGACTTTACTTTTTTCTGCAACTTGCCCACAGTGGGTATACAAAGTTGCAAAAAAATACATGAAATCCAGATATGAACAGGTTGACCTTGTTGGAAAAATGACTCAAAAGGCTGCAACTACTGTGGAAGTAAGTAGCTTTCCAGTATGATAGATGTTAGCTTTTAGTTGGTATTTTGAAATTTGTTAAAGCTGAACTTAAATTTTGGGTACCAATTCAGACCAAACCTCTCTTTTTTGCTCTTAGTTAGTAAGATACTTAGTATTTGTATGATTTGAGACTGAGGAGCAAAATAGGATAAGTAGTGGAGGTCAAGTATGGGAACAGGCAAGTTCTAATAAGAAATATACAAGCAGCTATAGTGATAGATTTAAAGTATGTAGAATGTGAGAAAGGAGGTGATGCATATCAATTTGAAAAGAATAGTGCTGGAATAATTTAGTAAGCTTAGGTGAGAAAAAGATCCTCATCTTACACTTCATGCAAAAAAATTTCCAAAAGATTTAAAACAAATTAAGCATAAAATCATAAAGCAGATATAGATAAATAATTACTTGATTTCAGGAAAAGGAGGCTTTTCTAAACATAAAGTCAGTAGATGATACCATAAAGGAAAAGGTTGATAATTTCAACTCCATGAAAATTTAAACCAATAGTATGTTATTAAAAAAAGAATTAAAGGTAATATTTGCATTATTATGATAGGTTTGTACCATATGTGTCACTTTTCCATTTAATAGTTGTACATACATGTATGTAGATAAAAATATACTAAATGAACAATAGTATAATCTGTAAATTCAATGTAATGATTAAAAAGAATGAATTGAGTGATAAAAAACAAATTTCAAAATACATGCTTTTTAAAAAACTGCATATATAATGCTTTTCAAAAAAATGCACATATAATGCCAAATGTATTCCTTATATATTTATGTAAATGTATAAAGGTTGGTTGGAAGGATACACATCAAACTAATAACAATGATTACCCCTGGGAAAGAGGACTTTCATACTATGGGATGGTCAAAAGAGGCTTTGTATATTTTTGTAATGGCTGAAAATTTTACAATAAGAATGTAATTTAAAACTGTATCAGTGAAAAAAAGTTTTTTCATATATTTGGAAACATGAAAATCATTCTATAAGGGATCTTAGCAGCAAGCTTTAATGACCATCTTTTCTATACCCCATAAAATCTTCATCCGTGCATCTGAAGCAACTCAGTCATCATTTCATCTTCATGTAATTGTATATATTTTTAAAAGGATAAGGGCTCTTTAAATAAAAACAAACAGCCACAAAATTGTCACAGTAGGAAAAAAAACAATAAATCTCTAATATTATTAAATATCTAATGTCCACATTACCCTAGTTGTCTTTTTTTTTTTTTTATAGTATGGACCTAGATCCAAATAAGATTCTTACATTACCATTGGTTTGTATGTGTCTTAAATCTTTTATAATCTACAGGTTCCTTTGTCCTTTTTTATCCTTGCAATATTTTTTTTTAGGATTACTTTTTTCTTATATCATTAATCTACAATTACATGAGCAACATTGTTTACTTGACTCCCCCATCATCACATCCCCTCCACATACCCTATTACAGTTACTGTCCATCAGTGTGGTAAGGTGCTACAGAATCACTACTTGTCTTCTCTGTGTTGTATAGCCCTCCCCATGTTCCCCCCAGCATTATGTCTGCTAATAGTATTACCCCTTTTTTTCCCCTTATCCCTCCCTTCCCACCCATCTTCCCCAGTCCCTTTCCCTTTGGTAACTGTTTGTCCATTCTTGGGTTCTGTGAGTCTGCTGCTGTTTTATTCTTTCAGCTTTTTTCTTTGTTCTTATACTCCACAGATGAGTGAAATCATTCCTTGCAATTTTTTATTGAAAAGAACTGATCATTTGTCTTAGGAGTTTCCCACAGTCTCAGATTTGCTGATTTGTGATCCAGTGGTGTTATTTGACATGTTCCCTCTGCCTTCATTTTCCTGTGAGGTGATGGTTAGATTGTGAGGCTTGATCAGATTCAGATTCTCTTTTTCTTAAGAACTGGAGAAGCAGCACTGTCATAGGTGGTACAAAGGATTCTTGGTTTTTTTCTTTGTGCTTTTTTCTGTTTTCCAGGTGTTCCATAATTCATATGTTACATTTTTAAAAGTTCTGCTCAGATAATGTTAAAATGCACAGATTTAAAATGTTGTTTTCCCATTTAAAATGTTTTTTCCCAACATTTTATCATGAAAATTTTTAAACACACCAAAAAGAAAGAACTTTACAGTGAACCACATATACCCATCTGCTAGATTCTACCATTAATCTTTTACTGTATTTGCTTCATCACATATATACCCATCCCTATATCTGTCTTATTTTTTGTTCAATTGCAGAAATCAATAAATTTCCACATAAATATTTTAATATGCATATCATTAGCTGCAGCTCAATATTTAGATTTTTTTTACTGAGGTAAAATTGACATAACAAATTAACCTTATGAAGTATACAATTCATTGTCAGTACATTCATGGTGTTGTACAGCCATCACTTCTATCTACTTCCAGAATACTTCACACTCCCAAAGGAAACCCTATAAACATTAAGCAGTTACTGTCCATTCCTCCTCTTCCCAGCCCCTGGGAACCACCAGCCTGCTTTTTGACTCTGGATTTTCCTATTGTGGATATTTCATGTAAATAGAATCATACAATATGTAACTTTTGTGTTGGGCTTCTTTTTACTTAGCATAATGTGTTTGAGGTTCATCCATATAATAGTTAAAAATTTAAAAGATTTGTATACAAAAAAGTTCAAGTGTACATTTGTTTAGTTTTGAATAATTCATGCATGTGTATAACCCAAACTCCTATGAAAATATAGAATATTCCATTATCCCAGAAAGTTCCCTCATAGCCTCCCATCCAGAGGCAACCACTGTTCTCATTTTTTTTCCACTGTAGATTAGTTTTGCCCATTCTAGAACTTCATGTGTAATCACACTATGTATGTACTCTTTTTTTTTTTTTTTTTGTAAGGCTTCATTTACTCAGCATATGTTTTGACACTCATCCATATTGTTGCATGCATCAGTAGTCAGTTCCTTTTTCTTTTTTTGGTGTTGGTTCCCTTTAATTACTGAATAGTATTCCATTGTATAAATATATTACAATTTGTTTATCCTTAAACCTATTGGTGGCCATCTGTATACTCTTTTGGAGAGAATTATTGTCTTATTGTCTCCCAGGAAGGCTAATTCTTGAACAGATAGGAAAAAAAAGTACAAGAGAAAGCTTTTTCACTGATTTTAATGAAACAGATATTTGGCGTTTTCTTCCCACAAAGCATTTGGCCATCCAGTGCCATTGGTCTCAGAGGCCAGCAGTCATTGGAGATGTCCTTCAAGTCTACAGTGGGTCTGAAGGGAGGGCTATTATTTTCTGTGAGACCAAAAAGAATGTAACTGAAATGGCCATGAATCCACACATAAAACAGGTAAGTCTCTTCTCATGCTTTCTCTATTTGAGATTATAGGGATAACTCACTGACTGAACTGTCCTTTGTGGACCAACTTTGATAACAATTCTTAGAATTGAGTCTAATTCAGAAGGAAATTGTAGCCAGCCTCTCATGATGTGTTAAGTCGGGATAACTCACTGACTGAACTGTCCTTTGTGGACCAACTTTGATAACAATTCTTAGAATTGAGTCTAATTCAGAAGGAAGTTGTAGCCAGCCTCTCATGATGTGTTAAGTCAGGAGAGAATTCTATCCATTTTCATCCAAAGATTTTTCAAAACTTTGCAGTTCTGATCTTGAAAATAAAAAGGTTGAAACAAAATGAGTTTCTGTGGGTAATATTTTAGAGTTGTGTTACAAAATGAATCAAATATTTATTGAGCAAATGGGTCAGAATACTAAGTCCACATGTCTTTTTTTCTTTTAACTTTTTAATAGTAGAAATTTTCAAACATACATAAAAGTTGACCATGTGATGAGTCCCTGTGTATTTATTCTCCAGCTGCAACAATTATTTCATCCAGATGCCTATTCACTGCCTGTTCCTGAATTATTTTGATGCAAACTCATATTATTTCCATAAATATTTGGGTATGTGTCTCTAAAAAAAAGGGTTATTTCTTAAAAACCCACACTACTATGATCACATCTAAAAATTAATTTTAAGTAGTAATTAATATCTTCAAATACCAATTAATAAATCAGTATCAAATATCAATTGCTGCAGATTGTATCAAATATCAATCATGTATTCAGATTCTCAGTTGCCACTTAAATGCTTTGTTTTTTCTTCTGTGGCTATTCTAGAATCTGAATCCAAAAGTGATTTTACATTGTGTGATTTCATTAAATCTCTTTAAAATATGGATTCCTTCTTCAATTATTTTTTTCTTGGAGATTTTTAAATTGTTGTTTAAGAAACCAAGTTTCCATAATCTAGATTATTTCTTCCCTGTGGCATCATTTAGCATGTTCCTCTGTCTTCTGTATTTCCTGAAAATTCAGATTTATTTGTTTATTTAGTATAAAACTATTTCATAGATGGTGGGCTTCCATCAGGAAGTATGTATTATCTAGTTCTTTGTCTTTCTGTAATGTCAATACCCATTGATAATAATGCTATCCATCCTTATGTCACTGTTTCTCCAGTCATTTTTTGCTGTCTGTGACTAGTTACCTAGTAGATTCCTGATGAAGGGTTCATGGAAACAATATTACCTGTTGATGATAGCTTATCTGTTTTTTGCTTTTTTAAATGGAGGTACATACAGTAAAATGCACAAATCTTAATGTATAGCGTGGTGAATTCTGACATGTATATACATTCATGTAACCATGATAATAGTTTGTAAATTTATATCTGAAAATTATCTTGACTAGATATAAAAATCTTGGTTCACATTTTTTTTCCTTCAATATCTTAAATATATTTTTCCACTGTTTTTGGAATAAAACATTCTATAAAAAATCTGATGCCAGTCTGATTTTTTTTCCATGTAAGTGATTTGGATGCATTACCTGAATGCAAAAGACTTTTTTCTTTTGCTTTAAAATCAGTAGTTTTACTAGAAAATATTTTGGTGGTGGTCTTGCTGACCTTTTCTGAGTACACAGTGTACGCTTTCAGTTTGTAGGTTTAAATACATATTTTATAATTTCAGCAAAATTTTCTTCAATTACAATATTTTAGTGTTTGGTTTATCTGATTCCTTTGTTTTTCTTTCTTTAGCATCTCATTATATATATATATATATATATAGAGAGAGAGAGAGAGAGAGAGAGAGAGAGAGAGAGTGAGAGAGAGAGACTCCTTTTTCCTTTCTCCTTTGTCACTTTATCTCAAATCCTCTTCATTTTCTTTATTTCAATTTTCTGTTTCCTGTTTTTAAGGCATTAACTATTGTGGCAGTCTTGTGTTCCTTCCAGTATAGTCTTTATTTGTAAAGTTTGTTTTTTTATTTCTACTTCTTTTTATTTCTACTTCTTACTTGAGTCACTTCACCTCATTTTTTAGTTTTTCTCCTCCTGATTTTTCTTGCTTTTTGATACATTGTTTAAAAAATTTCTTTTAGCTCATTCAGAAATATAATCCTGTACTTTTTTGTGGGCATACCTTTCTAGAGCTTTTTCATTATTTGTGGATATTATTCTGCTTATTTTTTCCCCTTCTAATTACTTTCTATAAGATATAACTGTGGTCTTTTCTGTTGCTCATTTTTAGATGAAATTAATCTTTCTGAACTTTAGATGGGGAGGCATGAGTCAGAAGTTTTCTAGCTTCACAGCTCTAGAGCTGCTGCTTCTGTTATTTTTGTTAGTGTTTAAGAATTTGGACTGTAAATTATAACTCAGTAAAGCTATTAAAGAAAAAGGTCTCATACTTTCTGAGCTCTGTCTGTCCTTCCCCTTACTTTTATCTGGATCTTTTATTTTCTTCTGTGATCTCTGGCATCCTCAGTTTGGATTCTAGGTCCAACAGTTTCTCCTCATGTGGCTTCATCCTGGCAAGGGAGCATTGGTTATTTTTGAAAATTCTTACAGGGTCCAGGCTGCTCCAGCCTCTTTCATACCTTACCTCCAGCTCCTCACAATCACCTTGAGTGTGCAAAAACTCTCCCAGTTTCAGCTGCTGTTCTCAAATTGGCCCATTATGCTTTCTGGGGAGTATCTGTTGTTAGGACCAGCAGATTCCCCCCATACCTACAGATCTTCATTCTACCTGCTCATGTTTTAGAAATTGTGAAAATACCTTGTCTCACTTAGTTTTGTTGTAGATGTTGTCTGTGGAATTTTAGTTTTATCTTAGTTGCTCTGTTTGTTTTTATGTGGGAACTGAAAGACTATGCTGTCACCATCTTCCCCAGTGCCCTTTCAATTAATTGTACAGCTTTAGTTTTGTGTATGGTATAAACAGATACTAAATTGTCAAAGAGTGTTGGAGGGTAGTTGATTTACTTTTGCTCAGCAGTGTCTCCTTTGCTGTCATTGCTTTAGAATACTCATCAGCAGTTGTCTTGTAGAAGCTTTTGCTTTATCTTGTAGGGAGGAATTGCCTTGCTGCAAAGGCTGGGTGAGAATTCTCTTACTGGACAATTATCAGTTTCTATGGTTGAGAATAATGCAACTTCTCCTCTGCTGGTTTGCTACTTAGGTAAAAAGTAGTGGTAGCATATCATCATTATGGGGATATGGGATTTTATAGACTAACAAGGGAACTTTAATGGTTTATTTTTATTTTCAAATATTAGTATTTCTTAATGGCAATTTTTTTTACCAGAAAAATGCCTTCTTACTCCAAACAGTTACAAACACGCAAACTTTTGGAAAATAATTTATTCATAATTTGGAGACCTGGAAACCATCACTGACATTATGAATGTAGTATGTCCCCCTTAGGAATAATTATCAAGTAGAAAGTCAGTGTTGTATCAAAAATTTTTAAGTGAATTTGAAAAATTCACTATGAAAAACTGACTACCTTAAACTATGTTTGCTTATGACTTTTAAAAATAATATGATAATATCTCCTTTCTTGAAACATTTCTTGTAACTTGGATTCTATAATATCACACAGGTTTTCTTCCTTCTCTGGCAAACTTTCCCATTTTGTTGAGGTCTTTCTGTATCCTTGCTTGCCCTTAAATATTGGCATCCCTCACAGTTCTAACTTCTGTACCCGCTTCCTCTCACTAAACTTACTCTTCCTGAGCTTAGTGATTAACAGCACAGGCTTTGGAGGCAGACAGATCAAAGCTTAAACACCTTGAGCAAGTCACTTTACATTTTTGTGCTCATGTCTTTAAAAAGTGGTATTAAAAATAAATTATTTACACTTTTATGATTTAAATGAACTAATTTACTTAAAGCATTTAACACAATGCCTTTCTTACGCCAAGTTGTCAATAAATGCAGAAATATATAAGTATAGTTGTGCATATATCCCATCACTCCTGTGGCTCTGGTCATTGTGTATATGCTGATGATGTACACATCTTTTTCCAGGTTAGCTCTCCCAGACCTGTGTTTATCCTATGGCCACAGATAATCCAACCCATTATAGAACTAAAATTGAATTTATTCTCCTATGCTCTTATACCTACTCTGTCTGCAGCATTCCATATTGTTGAATGATACATCTGATAGACTGAAGTCAAAAAACTGTGTATCACCCTTGACTTTTCCTTACCATTTACCATCCACTGAACTATAAAGTATTTTGGAGTCTATCTCCTATGGTTTAAAATGATCCATTTATTTTCCTACTGTTTCTTTCCTACTGTTTTTTCTGCATTTTTTTTTTTTTTTGCAGAAACTCAGAATCTTGGAGTCATATATAATATGTTCTTTCCCTTATACTTCATTTCCACTCCCTTAACCAAGTCCTTACAGTTTCTTTTACTAATAGTTCCTGAATTTGTTTATGGCTGAGTCCCTACTTACCTTTCCAGTCTCCTCTTATTATCACACTTTTCCTTAATTTCTTATTTTAAATTTATTATTTTTACAAGCAAAGAGTAGTTAAAAAAAAAGTATGCACTCTATCTCCTAATTTCTTTACTCTTCATACATGCCATGTTTTTTCTCCCAGACAGCTCGAACTTGTAGTCTACCTTGCCTCGGAGCTCCTACTCACCTTCAGATATCAGTTCAGAGCCTCACTTTTCAGGGAATTCTTCCTTGCCACAAAGTAGGTCAGGTTGTTCTTCTATAAATGGTCTTTGCTTCTTAGACCTGTGTGTCAGCCATTACTTGTTGGCTAAGTTTATTTGCATGCCTGATTATTTGATTAATGCCCATTTCCCTGACCAGAGTAGAAAGACCCTGAGGACAGAGGCAGTCTTATTTTTGTTTGCCATTTTATCCCTTGTGCTTGACATATTGTAGATTACTAAATACCTGCCGAATGAATGGATGGCCATTTCCACTGATAACTCTTCTGAATTTTTGCAAACAAGAGACTACTACCAAGTAGCCAGAGTGTTCCTTCTACAATGCACATATGTTCATGATAATCTGCTTACAATAAATTGTTCCATATTGTCTTTAGGATAAAATTCATGTTCCTTTCAGTCTCACTTCTCACCACTTCCCCTCTTCAGTTTATGCTTCAGCAATACTCCCAATATTTGTTGTTCCCCAGGGCATACTATTTAGGTATGATAGTCCAGAACTCCCTAGCCTCCTGCTCCTCCTCTGACCTGACTCCCAGTTCCTGTCAGGTCTCAGCTTCAGTGCTGCCTTCCCCTCAAACAAGACTGAGGAAGGTTTCCTCTTAGGTATTCCTATAACACTGTGCATCTGGCTGTAGCTCATATCTTATTGTATCGAGAACGCCTGTCATCTGATCCAGGGCTATCTCTGTTTGACTGTTAGAGAATCTGGCATTGTGCCTGGCACACAGCAACTACTCAGTGAATTCATTCATGAATGCATTAGGCTTTAGATACTAAAGTTTAGGTACTGGATTAAGTCATTATATTAGAACTTTCAAGTTTTTCTAGTGACTAGGAAGTTAACATGTAATAAGAAAAATTATTTGCAACACAAATGGAAGATAAATATATGAATAGTATAAATAGGTTCAACTTCACTAAAAGTTACAGAAATTAATTAAAACAACATTGAGAAATCATTTTTGCCTGTTAGATTCACAAGAATTATAATGATTCATAATATACAGGGTAGGTAGGGTATGATGAAATAAACCTCAGAATTGTGGAAGAGTGAATGGGCACAACCTCTTTGGATAATAGTTTTGCAACAGCTATTAAAACGTTAAATGTTCATAATTTTCACGTAATTCAACTTCTACATACATCTCCTGCTAACATACACATCTGCTAAGAAATTCACTTGTTCATTGTAGCATTGTTTCTCAGGTAAAAATTTGGATATAACCCAAATGTTCACTAGTTGGATATTGCTAAAATAAATGATATTGCATCCAAATGGAGAAATAATACATAGAATAAAAGTTAAGTAGAGTTATATCTATAGATGTGGAAAAATGGCTAAGATATAAGTTTTAAAGCCATTTACAGAACAGTATACACACACAGTATGATCCTATTTTTACAAGTATATATACATAATATGTTACTACATCTAAGTAGTGTGTGTGTGTATATTAAAAAGAAAATATCTGGAGGAATGTTCACCCATCTGTTAATAGTGGATTATTAGTAAGCTGATAGTAAGTGAAGCTTTTACATTTTACATCAAATATTTTCTGTAATGTTTGTTGAACAATAAGCATGCATTATAATTATCAGAAAATATGATTAAAAAACAACAGCACAGATGGTGTGCTGTTAGAGTGCTGTCAATTATGAGTTGTACTTATTTTTCTCCTTTTGTCAAATAGAATGCCCAGTGTTTACATGGGGACATTGCACAGTCACAAAGGGAAATTACACTGAAAGGCTTCAGAGAAGGTAGCTTTAAAGTTTTGGTGGCCACCAATGTGGCTGCCCGTGGTTTGGACATTCCTGAGGTTGACCTGGTGATTCAAAGTTCTCCTCCACAGGTAGGAAATGAAGTTTGATTTGGGGAAAATAAGAGCAGCTATATAAATGGCTATTTTATTTACAAGATACTGCTTGGGATACGAAAAATGTTACCTGTTCTTACTCTAAGCCATTTTTTTGTTAGTGGTGGTAAACTGATCAGAATCTGATGCGTTTGCAAATACGTAACCTCATTGTTTGGATCAAAGCATGGAATGATACAAGGGAATATAAAGTTATTGTTTGATGAGTCCTGGATTAAAAGGTTTTAAGTTACATTCCTTTTATCTCAAAATTCAGCATAAAAATTCTTTGGGATGTTGAAAACAACAGTATTGAATTAAAAATATTATTGGTAGTGGTTTTGTTATTAGCATTATTATTTGGATACTGGAATGACTTTGTAACTTGCCAGATTTTTTAAAAAGTATTATCTCTTATTTTTAGGATGTTGAGTCCTACATTCATCGCTCTGGGCGCACAGGTAGAGCTGGTCGGACAGGGATTTGCATATGTTTTTATCAGCCAAGAGAAAGAGGCCAACTAAGATATGTGGAACAAAAAGCAGTAAGTAGACTTAAATTATTTCAGGCTTATTACCTAAATGGTGCCTTAGAAAAACCGCTTAATGTTTGTTCTCATAAATAGATCTTTGTAACTTTTCTCAGTGTAAGCCGCATTTGGATGTGAAGCATGTGAAGAGCTAAATTTATATTAGTTGCAAGACTTTGTTCTAATACAGCTTTTACTGTGAAGACAGAGAACTGACTTTCTCATTTTTCCCATGAATTTCTCCCTTGATAACTAAAATCAGAAGTGCACTGTGATTTCAGTACCTCTTATTCCAGCACTCAGAGGGGTGACTGTGACATGGTCTTGTTTTTACAGTTAAGATTATATTGAATAATGGTACAATACTCAGTTTCTATCAGAAATAATACATTCTTTGTGGTCTGGATTTTATGTGTTTTACATTGTTTCTTATTTCTTGATGTGTGTTTTTATACACTATTTCATATATTTTGTAAAGTGAGATTACATAATAAGAAAAAAAAGTTGATAGATGTAAACAATGTCTTTCTTTTTTTGCATCACCTTTATTTGCAAGAGAAATTCCATGATTGTAATTAAGGGACAATTCACAAAAATTTTTTGTCTTTCCAAAATTTGTTATTGATGATTTATTTTAAAAAGTAGATCTTTTGATTTGCTACAGCTTGGAAATGTTTAAGTCCAAGAAATGGAAATTCAACAAACTATATTAATTTAGGAATTAATTGTAAAAACTTCCATTTTTCTTTAATGTAATTCTTTCATTTTCAGGGAATTACTTTTAAACGTGTAGGTGTTCCTTCTACAATGGATTTAGTTAAATCTAAAAGCATGGATGCCATCAGGTATGCTTTCTGACCTTGCTGAGTAATTTTTTCTTTTGTATTAGGATATTCATCTTTAAGCTCTCCTAGTTCAAAAAAATATCAGAAAATTTAATCACCAGTTTTACCAGCAGACATTTAGTTATGTTTAAATATGAAAATGTTGCTCTTTCTTTTCCCATTCATTCTCTTGCCTTTAATTTTTCTTCACTGTTTGACCAAGAAATTTACTATTTTTAAACCATAGGTCTCTGGCTTCCGTTTCTTATGATGCTGTTGATTTTTTCCGGCCATCAGCTCAGAGACTGATAGACGAGAAGGGGGCAGTGGATGCCTTGGCTGCAGCATTAGCCCACATCTCTGGTGCATCAAGTTTTGAACCACGATCTTTGATTACCTCTGATAAGGTAAAAATAATTGAAACATAGATATCTATCTATTGGGAGAGAAATGGAGGAAAACCTTAACTGAAACTTGCACACCAAAACCTATTCTTCATTTTTTAAGTTGCCATGGAACCATGCAAATTGAGAAAAAGACTCTGTGTAGTTAACACAGTACCATGCAAAGTAAGGATGCCTTACTTTGTGTGTGTGTATGTGTGTGTAACACCATCTGACCTGACTCTGCACAGGTTAATATCAGATGCCAGATCACACCAGAGCCATTGTTTCAAAGTAATTCAAAGATGTATTACTCACTATGGTATAAGTGCAGGGAGTCTCTGGGTAAGGGCACCCATTAGTAAGAATGCCCTCTGATGTCTGGGTGGGGGGAAGAGAAAGACAGAGAGAGAAGACAGACTTGGTGGGAGTGGGGAACAAAAGGATCAAGGCAGGTAAACCCCACATGCTGAACCTGGTGTAGCATATGAGTGCATCTGCAGCGCCATGTTTTCCACCCAGCAGAACACATTTTGGTGTGTCCAACTCTGGTTTTCTCTCCCTTCCCCCCTCCCTCTGTATGTGTGTATACTGTGTACCTTTATTAAAAAATCAGGCTCTAACTAGAGATTATATGTTACATCTCTTTGGTTGTTAACATCTCTCTTTTTATCAGGAGCTGTCTTCCAATCATTTTTATTGATTTTTTTGAAGAATCTAGATGAGTTGTCTAGATCACAGTCTACAGTGTCCTACCTTCTGGATTTGTCTGGTTTTCTTTTCTTCATACATCATTTAACGTTTGCCTTTTCATTCTTTTCTATAAACTGGTGATAATGTCAAAGTTTGATTTTATATACAGGTTAGACAGTTTGGTCAAGAGTACCTTTTAGGAGAAATTGTCTACTTCATACTGCTTCATATCAGGAGGTATATAATGTCAGACTGTTCCAGTACTAATAATGCTTAGTTTGATCACTTATTAAAGATGTAAACTGCTACATATTCCCATATTAAAGGTATGTTTTACTCTCTGTAATTAGTAAGTAATCTGTGGGGTGATACCCATAATAACCCACCAAATACTAAGAAAATATTTAAACCATACTTACTAAGAAAATATTAAGATAGACTTTTAGATCTAAGAAGTACCTAAGAGGTCATTTAGTCTCAACCCTTATCTAATAAAATAATCCCTCTTTGGCAGATGGGTCATCTAGCCTCTGATTAAATGTCTTAGAAACAGAGTCTCAGGGGTTTGAAATTTCTTTTATGGGTTAAGCCAAGATGCAGAGTTTTTACTGTGAATGTCCTACAGGATCTTCCCTTGCTACCTCTTTGACCTCATCTTTTATCACTCTCTCTTGCTTGTTTCAGCTACCCTAACCTACTTGTTATCCAAACATAAACCTGCTCCTGCAAAGACCTTGGTACTTAACTTGCACTGTTTCAAATGTTCTTCATTTTTAACAACCACATGGCTTCCTCCTTCACCATCCAGGGCTTTCCTCAAATATCATCAGTATTTTAGGACTTTCCTGATCACCCCATCTAAAAGAGCTTACCCCTCCTTTTACCTTCTATTCCCTTGCTATGCTTTTTTTTTCATGATGCTTATAACTATAAGCATAACCATGATACTTATGATATTCTATATATTTATTTGCTTATTTCTCCACCCCAACCCACCACTCCTCCCTACCCACAGTAGGATGTAACCTCCATGAGAGAAAGGAGTATTTACTGCTGAATCTCTAGCCCCTAGCACAGTGTCTGGCACCTATATAGGGGCACTCAGTAAAATATTTGCTAGATGAACCCCTCCCTGTGTCTTCTTCATGTTGATACTTCTGCTGTCCAGTGAAGTCTTAACAGAAGAAGTAATTTTTGCTTATGTAATACTCCTTCAAACATTTAAAGGGATTTATGTTCTCTTGTTTTTCCACTCCAAGCTAACTTTTGACTCCTTCAGCATTCCTAAATTTTTCACTACCTTATCTTTTCTCTAATTCTCTAGTTTAGTTATCTCTTAAAGCATGATGATTAGAATTAAGTATAGTCTGTAATTACAGCAATGCATAGAAAGAGGTCCTTTCAATGATATATAAACATTAGTATTTGTTAATATAGTTTTAAAGACATTTTTTTAGCCGTCATGTTGGCTCATAAGAAGTGCACAGGTGAGTCATGAACGGCCCAGAGTTAGAACCTCACTGTTTTGCTGCTGCTGCTTTTTCCCAAACATGATGTGACTCTTCCTTCAGGGGTTTGTGACCATGACTCTGGAGAGCCCAGAAGAAATACAGAATGTCAGCTGTGCTTGGAAAGAACTTAACAGGAAGCTGAGTAGTAATGCTGTGACCCAGGTTACCAGAATGTGCCTCCTAAAAGGAAATACGGTAAGCTTTTCTAGACTAGTAAAATGCTTTTTAATCAGTTGCCATAAATGTTAATGAAGACTAGCAGATTTTGGTCCTCCTTTGTTTTTTTAAGGCCAGTGGGATGAATAATAATGTATTCTCTCTGTGTTAGTTTGTTTTCAGTTGTAAATATTGTGTTTATAAAAATAACCCATTTCTTGTAGAAAGTTGTAAGTTATTCTGCTTAGTTTGATCATAAGTTATCAAAGTTTCTGCCCTTGTATACATGTTATGTGTGATTGTGTGTTTATTCTGAAAGACTAAGCAAATTATGATGGCAGTGGCTGAACAGCTGTATTATTTAGAGAATAAACAGTAGTGGTTTATAAGTGGCTTGCTATTGGTTGTTAATGAGGATAACAAAGTGGATTGTGAATTAAATATTTTAATACATTTATGAAAGAGCAAACTTAAAACCATCTATAATCTTAGTGACTCTGATTTTGTCTAATGGTTTACAGAAAAGACATTATATTTGTTCATTTTACTTCACCATATAGGTTCCCTGTAGCCTAGAATTTATTGATTCAGTTGTCTATTGGAAATAATCATCTCTTTCAAAGTTTAATATTACTTACCTTAAAAAAAACCTTGTGGCAAGTATGAGACAAATACACATTCAGAAAAAACATGGAAGGCAGGGAAAATGTTATAACAAGATCCTTGGGTCAAACTGGTTGCTATGTCCTGGGTTATGTCCTTTTCTTTATCTGATAAACATTGTAGCTTTTCAGGAGAGAAACTTTCTGACACTAAATTTTTTAAAGAATTTACTAGATGAATTTAAGGGATGTGGAACATAAGAGTGTCTACAAAAACTTCTCTAAAGAATACACCAGATTCTTAGTAGTAAGATTCTTTTCATCCCTCCCTCCCTCCCTCCTTCCCTCCCTTCCTTCCTTCCCTCCTTCCTTCCTTCTTCTTTCTTCTTTCTCTCTCTCTCTGTCTTCCCTCCCTTCCCCCTTCCCCCTTCCCCCTTCCCCCTTCCCTTCCTTCCTTCCTTATCTTTCTTTTGTCTTAGGTATCATTGATTACAATCTTATGAAGATTTCACATAAGCAACATTGTGGTCACTATATTCACCCATATGATCGAGTCCCCACCCCCCAACACCCCACCACAGTCACTGTTCATCAGCGTAGCAAGATGCCACAGGGTCACTACTTGTTTTCTCTGTGTTACACTATCTTCCCCATGACCACCCTCAAACCATGTGTGCCAATCATAATGCCCCTCAATCCCCTTCTCCCTCCCTCCCTCCTCACCCTCCCCAACCCCTTCCCTTTGGTAACTGCTAATTCTTTCTTGGAGTCTGTGAGTGTGCTGTTGTTTTGTTCCTTCAGTTTTTTTGTTTTGTTTTGTATTATTAATATACAATCACATGAGCAACACTATGGTTACTAGATTCCCCCCATTATCAAGTCCCCACCACATAACCCAGTCACTGTCCAGTAGTAGTAGATTCTTATTAGATCTTGTGTTTAGTTACTTTTCTGATTTAGAAAATAAAATAAGCAGCACTCAGTATCATACATTATTATATATTAGCTGTTTAATCCTCTAGGCACTCATGGGACACACATAAGCTTTTGTTTTTTTTGCTAAGAGAAGATTGGCCAGCAAGTATTAGTAAAAAAAAAAATCAACTCATGCATCTAAGTAAAAATGTTTTCATTTTGCTTTTAGGGTGTTTGCTTTGATGTTCCCACAACCGAGTCTGAAAGGTTACAGGTATTTTAAAAGTTTATCTGTTGAATAGTTGAATATGTTTCTCTAAAAATTAGGGATTAAAAGGAAACCATAGGCACAGTATGGTTTTCATGCCTATTTTAATTAACAGTTCCTTAATATAAAATAGCCAATCTGTATCACAATTTAAAATATTTTTTATTATAAATAATTTCAAACATATAAAAAATAGAATTGCATAATGAATCCTCATGTATCTATCACCCAGCTCCAGCAATTATCAACTCATGGCCAGTTTTGTTCCATGTCTTCTTCCATCCACTTCCCCACTCTCCTGTATTCTTTTGTAACAAATGTTAGGCATTCTATCATTTCAACCATAAATATTTCCACATCATACTTAAATGTTAATATGGACACTGTTGAAAAAAATAATAATACCATAATTTAACCCCCTAAAATAATAATTCCTTAAGATCATCCAATTTTGTGTTAAATTTCCCATTGTCTCCTAAACATTTTTTAACACAGGGTCCATACATTATAATTTGATGTTTCATTAGTCTCTTAATCTGTAGGTTCTCCTTCCTTTCTCTTTTTTAAAATTTTCCTTGTATTTTATCATTTGAAGAAAGAGATTTCCCACTGGATTTGCACAGTTTAGAATTTGTCTATTGCATCCCTGTGCATGTGTATATACATATTTTGAAGTAAGAATGAGATTGTTCTGTTTTTTAATGTCTTTTTAAAAACTCAGAATATACTGTGGACACATTTCTGTGTCAGCTATACAGTTACTTATCTTTAATGGCTCCTTGCATTTGGCTGCACGGGTGGCCAACTTTTCTTTATTGGTTTCCTATTTTCTGACATTTACATTATTTCTAAAAATATGTTATTATAAACAGGACAGGCCTAAACGTTGGTATAGCTAACCCTTCATGCACTGCCATGTTTATTTCTTTAAGATGAATTTTTAAGATAACTGCTTGGCCAAAAGATTTGTACATTTTTAAGGCTTGGTCATATATTGCCATCAGTGGTGTGTGCGGGTGCTTGTCTCTGCTCACTCTTATCAACAGGGTATTTTAATACTAATTTCCCTTGGTAACTCTTGATCACAATAAAGACAATATGGCAAGACAAGATATAATGATATTCTTAGGAGCTGTTAATTTTTGTATCTTCAGTTTTACTCCCATACCAAATTGTTTCCAATGGTTACATATTTTAATCTCTAGCTGATGTTGACAATTTTTAATTGCCATCATCAACTCTCACTTCTTGCTTCTGTCAATATACCCACTAAAGGCAGTATACTACTTAATAATGGCCTATTTATTTTGTGCTAAGAAACTAGTGCTCTCTTATAGGAAGTATAAACTAAGTATGAAATCTAGAGTCTCAGAATGAGTCTGAGAGTTTCCCTGAGGATAAAATTTAGGAACTTTAGTGGATGAGCTTTGGCTATATATATATATATTTTTTTTTTCTGGCTTTCAGAAAAATTTTGATCCAGATACTTTGCACTTGATGGGCAGACAGCCTTTAGCTAATAGATAATGGATATTACCAAAAGAGTCTCCTATATTCATGTGCTTGCTAGTGGCTTCTATTTTGCATATATATTAATCCTGTAAATTCCCCCAACAGGCAGAGTGGCATGATTCAGACTGGATACTCTCAGTGCCCCCCAAGTTACCTGAAATTGAAGAATATTATGATGGAAACACATTTTCTAATTCCAGACAGAGGAGTGGCTGGTCAAGTGGCTGGTCGGGCAGGTCGGGCCGGTCAGGTGGTCGATTTGGTGGCCGGTCAGGTAGACAGAATCGACAGGGCAGTCAGTCAGGAAGTCGACAAGACAGTAGAAGACGAAGTGGGAATAGAAATCGATCAAGAAGTGGGGGACACAAACGGAGTTTTGACTGAGTATTTGATAGTTAATCTACCAGTGTGAGCTTGCCTATTTCTGCCTAATCATGTACATTAGCCACCAAAACTTAGGTTATCATAGTTGAGATATGTGTTTGCTACTTGCAAAAAAGTCGGTCGTATATTTTTAAGAAGTATTTCACAAGAACAGTTGTAAACAAATCTCACGCACTTATACCTTTGAATAAAAAACTTCCTTTTATTGTCTCTTTTCACTATGTGTTAAGAATTTTCTCAGTCTTTTAAATTTCTTCCAAAATGTGGCAGTCAAGTTAATGTTACTTAAGGTTACTTGCATTTTAAAAAATGTGGTGTGTTTGTATTTAGACTATTCCTTCCATTGGATATGTGGTAGAAAATAAGAAATCCCTTCTACATTAAAGGGTTGTATAAACTGGTGATATGATTGGTTAGGTGTACCATTTAACTTTTAGATACAGTTAATTAAAAGGGTATGCAAGCAGTGCACACACAATAATTTATTCTATAGATATTGAATGTCTACTCTGTGCCCATCACTGTGCTTATCAGTAGGGATATAATGTGGTGAACAAGGCAGTTGCTATCCTCAAGGAATATAGTTTAAAGACAATCAAGAATTAGGTGAATGAGAGTAACATCTGATGGCTAAGATGAAGGTAGGTATGGAATGCTGGGGACCTGGTGGGGTATACCTAACCAGTCTTAGGAATGGAAGTCTTTTAGAAGTGATACCCAAAAGGAGCAGTAAAGCAAAAAGTATATCAGTTGACCTAGCTCAGTATATGTGCATGGTGTGAAGAAGAGTTTAGAAGGGAGGGAGTTTGCAAGACCGAGAAACCCATAGGCATATGCAGAAACCCAGAGGCAAAGAACACCATAGTCAGTCTGAGGACTTACAATTAGTTCAGTATGGTATGCATGTGACAGGAAAGGAATAAGAGAGAGAAGGATTTAGTATTCACAGGGAGCAGCTTTTAAAGGGCTAGTGTGCATTGTTAAGGATTTAAACATTCTCTTGAAGACAGTGGGGAACCATTGAAAGGGTTTAGAGTAAGGAGTAACATGAAGAGATTTGTGTTTTAGAAAGATTACTGGCTACACTGAAGAGACTAGATTAGAGAGGGGCTAGACTGGAGGCCAGGAGACCTCTTCAGATGCTGTTGGAGTAATCCAAGGCAGAGGGGATGGTGGTCTGCACTAATAATAGGTAACATGTTTTGAGTGGTAAGAACTGAGGCACTTGAGAGGTTAGTACATGTCCAGAATGATAGCTGGATGATACATAGTGGAGTGAGGATTTAAACCAACGTCAATGTAGCTTTGGAATCAGCACTCTTAACTGCTGTGCAAAATAGTCGCAGTGGACATTGAGAAACATGGATAAATTTCATAAGCTTTTAGGAAACAGAATTGTTAGGACTTAGTGCTTGATTGAACTGGAAGATGAGCGAGCAGAAGAATGAAACCTAGATTTCTGTCACTAAGGTGCTAGGAGGAAGAGCATGAAAAGTGAGTGGGGAGAGTGGGAATAGATGAGAGTTAAGATTATATATATTTAAATATTGAGAAGCTTGTGAGATGTAAGGAGATAAACAGTAGGCACTTGGATTTATAGGTTTGAAGCAGGAGAAAGATATGTTCTAGAGACAAAGATTTGGGGATAATAAAAAGTAATTGTAGTTAAGGTTGTAGATGAGATTATCTGAAGTTTAGTAAGAAAAGAGGACTGAGGAGAGAACCCAGAGGCAGACTAATTTTACTACTACATAGAAGAGGAAAGGGAAGCCCATCCAGAGGGGCTAAGAAGACAAAGCCCAGTAGTATGAGCCTTTCAAAGGAACCAGAAGACAAGCCTGTAATAGCCATTGGTTTGGCAGAGAGGAGATTTGACTTTGGAAGCAATCACCTTACTGGAGTATTGAGAAGAGAAGCTATTCAGCAGTAGATTCGGCAGGAAATGGGAGATAAAGAAGTCGGGACAATAAACGTGAATTTATCTTCCAGAAATGTGGCTGTGAATGGGAAAGAATAAGTTGAAGCTGGACATAGAAGAAAGGACATGAGATCACAATATTGTGTTGTGTGTGGGGGAAGACAAGGGAAGCTAGTATGTGGAAATGCCAATATAGGAAGGAGTCAGAATGGAGGGAAGAGGAGGAAGACTATACGAGGGAGCAAGATCCCTATGAAGACCCAGAGGGATGAGAATAAGCACACACTAGAGATTTTAGCTTTAGATGGTAGAAGCACATCTCTTCAACATTTTGTCAGGAGGAAAGTATATCATATGGGTGAGTTGGCAGGTGCTCCGGTAAAAGTTGAGGGAGTGACTGCCTGGTGTCCTCTTTTGTTTCTGTGGTATATTTTCATGGTCATCTACTGACAGTGAAGAGGGAAGTAGTAGGTTAGGAGATGTGAGGACGGGGGAAAATGCTGAGGTGTCAACTATAGAACATGATGGAGAGCTCACCAGGCACACTGGAGCTCACAGGCAGCTTTGAGGGTCCAGTGATTAGAAACAGTTTAGTGATAACAATTAGAGCAACTGAGTGGTTTCCTAGAGCAACACTCAACATTCAGTAGTAGGAATGGTGATGGGAGACAGCTGATTGATCGAGGATTGGGATTTTGCTCTGTGAGGATGATGAGGTGAAGGTGTTAAGGACTTTGGCAAAAGTGACTGGCTAATGGTCCAAGGAGTCTAGGCTGCCTGGGAATTAGAGATGGGGTTGATAACAGGGAGAATGTGGAAGGGGCAAAGGAATGAAGGGCAGTGAGGGCTGTCTGAACTTGAGATTTCCTGAGAGGAGTGGTTGGGGAGAAAACGAGCAGTGTATGGCAGTAGGCCTACTGGGAACAAAGGTCATTTCAGTTGAGGTGGTCAAACAACAAGAAGCTAAGTATTACCTGGGTGGTTGTTTTCAGGGACAATGAAGTCTCCAAGAATGAAGACAAACCAGGACAGGAAGACTAAATAACGTGCCAAAATATCAGTGATGGTGGAGGTTGGTAAGTTACCTGAATGAGGAAGGGCATAGAGTGATTCTACCACCCATCTTCAAAGGGACACAGCATTTACATGAAAGTGAGGGAGAGTGATAGTTTGGAGATAGCTTTGAGGATAAGAGAGCATTGATACCAGAGTACATGGAATGTGAGGGTATGAGCAACATGTGTGAGGAAGCTGCAGGGGGAGTGCTTTTCAGGAAGAGCCAGATGCCATTTAAATCAAGGTGAAGAAAGACTTCCAGTGCTAGATTGAGAAAGGGGGTAGTTTTGATTTTGGGAAATGAGGTTCCAGATAGCTATGATAAGGGTTGGGTGGGGGGCACTCAGCTCTGCATTTGCATAATTGTGAGCTCTGGATTTAAACCAAGATGAAATGGCTCCTTTCCTACTAAGGTGCATGAATACTACTACTGCAGTCTGAGTATGTTTTATACTGCAGTTTCTCGGGCACTGTTTGGGGTACAAAGGTGAAGAAGTGCCCCCGTCTCTGCCCTTATGAGCACAGAATCTAGTGAAACAGTGGACATCTACATTGAGGTCCACGGCAGTGACTAAAGCAATCATTTGTGTGCTTTGCCCAAGGCCACATAGCCCAACCCAGGAATAGGCGAGGGAGTTCAGAGAATGCTTTTGGGACATCATGATTGAACATGAATTAAGTCAGGTAAAAGAAACAGGAATGGGAATGGGCATCCAGGCAAAGGCAGAGAATAACTAATAAACAAGGCCTAAGTATGGGGAACAATAAATAACTCTTGGAAGGCTTCACAGACCTTGTCCTGGACAGCCACTGCAGGGTTTCAGGGAAGAGAGTGAAAAAGATAAGCATGTAGGTAAATGTCAGTGGGGTAAAGATAGATGTAAGGGATCCACTTGCTGAAGGTTGGTTTTCCTATTAGGAAACTGGGGCAAGTACTAACAAGATTAAATACCATATTTCTACATCTGCTGGAAGGAGAGGGCAGGGTAAATTCCTCACCAAATTCTCAGCGTTGGACTGCATTCAGCACTTAACTTTGCTCCTTCTGCGTAGAGCCCAGCAACTTCATGGCTCCACCTTTTGGCTGTTCAAAGCCTCCTGTTTGGTACTCTGAGCCCTAGTGTGCTCACCTCAAAACTATCTGATCTTGAGTCCTTACCCTGATCTTTAGTTTTTGAATTTATAAATAATACTTGTTTTGTTCCCTTCAGTGTTAGAAATTTGAATAGTGAATTCAGAATGTCTGAGAGCCTTCGCTCTCACTCACTGTTTTTGTTTCACATGTTTTGGAAGTAGTGCTTAATAATAGTTTTTTTAAACCACACTTCTTTAATATTAGTAACATGCATCCATTGTTGAAAGTTTGAAAAAATAGAGAATTAGATGTAAGAAATAGGAAATCATTCATGATCATCACTCAGAGATAATTACTGCTAACGTTTTGTTGTGTAGATTTTTCAATTCACTGTGTGCAGTTATACATACTTTTTGAAGTTGAAATTCTCCCAGTTTTATGAAAACAACGTTATCTACATCAGAGGAAATGGGCACAACTTCACATGTCCAATCAAAAATATATAGAAGCCATTTTTTTCTACTTTTGCTGAATTTTATACAGATGACTGGATTCAATACAGTAATTTAGCCACCTTTGAGCCAAAAGGACCTTTTGCATCTTTCCTCTTGGAATTTTGGCCTTGTGCCTGTGTGCAGGTATGTTACAACAGAATTTACATGCTTTGTAAGCCTTGACAGCATTTTCCACTTGGTAGTGTTCTGGGCTTAACTCTCTTTTTGAACATCTGTTGGCAACAAAATATCCCTGTACTGTTTATAGCTGTATTACTTGCAACAAGGTCATGTAGGTTCCTTGAGGGCCTTCACTTAGGTACTCCAGACTCACAGTACAATGCTGAAACCCCAGATTTAAGTATTTTGTTAGTCAGTTGATTGACTGCACTCATATTTGCTCCCCCTTCTCACACCTAATCCCAGGATGATTGAATTGCTTTTATGCCTGGGAATATAGCTAAAACTTATTTCAGGGGATTCCATCCTTACCTGCTACCATTGCCACTTTAATAATCAGCGCTTAGTGACAGCCTACTATATGCCAGGCATTGTTTGAAATCTTAAGGATACAAAGATGGATAAATCAAGGCTTCTGGCTCAATGATCTCACAAAGTATAAGTTAAAACATTTCTCTGAATTTATATAAATTTATCTGAGAAAAAAATCAGGAC